TAAAAAAAAAAAAAAAAAAAAACAAAGTTCCAGCTGCATGTGGTGGTGCACACACACATAATCCCAGCTCCCTGCGGGGTGAGGCAGGATGGCTGCAAGTTCAAGTCCAGCCTATGCAGCTTGGTGAGCCCGTCTCAAAAATCAAAAATGGATGGAGGCTGCAGCTCAGTGCTAAGGCCCTGGGTTAGGGCCAGTATTGTTAAAAAAGCAAAAAATAAAAAAAAGGCTTATTACCTCTGATGATTTTGTTTCTCCAGGTTAGAGCTATGTGGAATACGGAGGGTATCGTTTTCATCATTAAAATCTCATTCTCTAAGTTCACATAACGTCAGACGTGGACTCTGATGGACAAGGTCTGAGATCAAAGCAAGGTCTGTGTGATTCAAACCACACTTGGAAAACTTTCCAAGAGGGAGAACATATCCTCTTCGGATTTATGTCTTCGTGGCTTCACTCCCCAGCTTTTCGGGGAGTCCTACAAATACTGCATGTGTCCTACACTGGCGGATTCTACCTATCCGTGTGAACGGGCCTGATGACAGCAGGAAGGGCCCAGCCAAGCCCGCCTGTCAATCCGGCAGGAGGAGGATAAGAGCGCATTTAATACGGTAAAAAGCCTCAATGGTGATCTCAGCAACAGACATCATCAGCTACGACAGATCCCGAGTCGCCCGGGGCCGGGGTGTAGTACTGACCTCCTCTGGCTCTATCAGCTTGAACTCCATGCCCCGGCCAGTCCAGGCGATGAAGTGGGCGTTGGCTGGGTCGTCCAGGAGGGTGACCAGGAACTGCCACAGCTGCAGTGAGCCTCGCCTCTGGTAAGGGGGCCCCTCCCGATACATGGTGGGCTCCTGCTTGACTTTGCCTGGTAGGGACAGGGAGACGCGGGTCAGTTTAGCCCAGGGTTTCTCAGGTGATTTGGACAAAAAGGAATGACGTCTGCCGATTTAATCATGAAGTGGGCAATGAACTCGGCAAGGCTGAGGGATTGGGACACCTCTGACCACGTCTCAGCACCACACCTCAGACGGGCCACTTACCGTCCAGTCGCTCGGGCACGACGCAAGTGTCATCGAAGTATAGCCGGGGATCTTTTTCATACGGAAAACCTGCAGGCATTTAAAGACAAAGACCATGCTGCTGAACAGATTCTCTGTGTTGTACTAAAAACTCTGGATTGAAAGACTAAACTGGGATTCCGCATTTCAGGCCCTAACCCCTACTGCTGAGTCCATGCCAGGATGAATTCTGGGGGACTAGGAGAGGACAAGGTATTGGAGTTCTGAAGTGAGCAGCTGAACCTCAACTGGAAAAGCATCAGGCTCCTGCTACGAGAGCCAAGGCTGCTGAAAGCGCTGTGTCACCTCTGGGTTCCTTCATGTCTTGCTTATGAGGTCTGCCTGGGTCAGGGTAGCTGTGACTAAGCCCTTAAGACCTGAAAAGACATCTTGTCTGTTGTGGTTTGCCCAACTGGGAGGATTTATTTGACCTTCAGGTAGTCTGGCCATTTCCCTTTTAGCAAATATTAATCTCAACCTTCCCTACGAACTGGTCCAGGCTGCCCATATGCCTCATCTAGTCAGGAAGGTGTGGCGGGTAAAGAACACTGCCTCCACGGGCTGGGGATTTAGCTCAGTGGTTTCGCTGCCTACCTTGCAAGTGCAAGGATCCGAGTTTGATCCTCAGAACCAAAAAAGAAGAAGACTACCTACACGAAGAGAAGCACAGGCAAAATCACCAGGCACAGTGGAAGGAATCTGGGAGACTTGCTAGCAATAAAGTGTCTTCACTGCACAGATACCGAAGCTGAGATCTTGGAAAGGGAAATGACTGGTCCAAAGATGCACATAAAGGAAGTGAAAGACAGACACAGGCTTACACAGGTCAGGGAGAACAGCCTGGCCTTCTGTCCAGGGACCCTTCCTATGCTCTTAGTACTGCCCGTGCCATCAGGCATCATGACAACATCAGGGGTTCAGAGCAGAGGCAGCTGGCAGACTCCAAGCAGATCCTTCTCTCTGTCTTAAGAGGTCTCAGGACTGCAGTGTGTATTTCTTGCCAGGGAACTTTGCAGGAACTCCTGTCTGAGAAACGATGGCTCCCTGGGCTTGGTTCGCACTGCTTCAGCTGGCTGAACAGTACAGGTAGTGAGTACTGGATATGCAGAGGGACAGGGAGGGGAACAGGCTCTGCGACAAGAGTTTATTAAAACTTGAGGGATTTGCTGTGACTTGATAATCAATATGTAAAGGAGACAAGATGAGATCCTATTAATACTCTCATTTTTGCATCCCTAACCCCAGGCATGATTTCTCTGTTGTTTACATCAAAGGAAATTTACTTTATTGACATTTGTTTATTATTGTACCCACCATATATTTAGGCCAGGCACTGTGATGCTAGAGGTAGGTAGGTCTGAGAATACAGACTTGGGACTTACTCTCGTAGTCCTTAAACCTCAACCGGGGCAGACAGACAATAAGAAGAAAAAGAAATGAGGGAGCCACAGTATGGCATGGGAGTTAAAGAGTGCAGACCCTGGGGCCAGACTGGTGTATCCAATGAGCTGTGTGGGGTCTTGAATAAATTAACCCCTTTGCACTCCAGTTTCCTCATCAGGGAAGGCTGGGGAAGAGGGTAATTCCTGCCTTACAGGGTTAGGAGAATTTAATGAGTTAATATAAAGTCTGTTCTGTGGATCTATGCCTCCATCTTTACTACAGAGTGTCAAGAATAGCGGCTGGAACATAGGTGCATAAAAAATGATAGCTTTTTTTTTTTAAAAAGATCACAATTGCACACTGCAATAAGTACCATTAAGAAGTTAACAGGATAGTGTGAGAGCTTTTTACGTCTTTTGTCACGGAGGCTAAATTCTTCGAGGATAAGAACCAACCGCATCCTGAGTATCTTAGTGGCCTCAGAGCACCGTGTTCAGAAGGGCTCAATAAATATTGGAATAAATGAGCTCTGTGGCCTCCCATTTAAAAAAGATTTCGGATAACACTTCTAACTTTTAAGTCAGGCAGTTAGTGACTCCTGATAAATTTATACTTCATCAGTGACACAATCCTTTACGCAACTTGATTTTTTAACCTTTGCTCTCAGGAAGCTATATACTTCTGGACTCTCTACGTGCATTCTGACATTCCAGGGTGTTTTAAGACGATCTCATTAAAATAAAGTCACTATAAATGAACTATTTCAAATCAAGTTTGCCATGTTTCTTTTAGAACTTCTCCTGTAGGATAAAGACAATACATTCACTATGTACCTATATTCCTATCATATGCATGTTACTAAACACACAATCCCCATAGATCTGTATTACATCCACGGTTTGGTTTTCAGGAACGACTCAGCTCAAGGCCCATAAGGAGTACTGTTTCGGCACATTTGGTCGCTTCTGGCTATTCTCACATGTGATCCTCTAAAACATCTGGAAGATACAATTGGTTTGACTGAAATTTAAGTCAGCTGAACTTGCACCAGTGGTTGTTTCAGCTGTGGCCACAGCCACGTCATCCGCTCAGATAAAGGTGGCAGGAAGGAAGGACCTATTTGTGGGGCAAAGAGGAAATAAAAGATTCTAGACACCGTGTAAGGGCTCCAGGTGAGCGCTTGGGGCAGGACGGCTGTCTCAGCAATCAGATGCCAATCAGAAACCCTTGTTTTGCTAACTGCTGCATGGGCACCTGAGGTCAATCTTGTATAAAAAGGATAGAAAAACCATGTCCGGGTAATTTACAACCATTAAAAACACTGGTCTTTCTGGCAGTAACTTCTTGGATGCGTGTGTGTGGGGTCAGGGAAGAGATGGGCAGTGGGGCACAGCGCACAAACTCACCAGATCGTCTGTGTACAGTAAGCAGCCCTACGCCTTACTAAAAATATTTTCTTTAAGAGCATACTCTTTCCTAAATGTTGTAATTATGCAGAATGTTTTCCTCCCTCTTTTGCCCAACTCCTCCTAGCTGCCTGCTGCAGACATCAACTGCTTCTGTAGAAACATTCGGGAACCTGGAAAGGCGCAACACACAGCTGTGCTGATCACGGCCAGTGGTCCATGGCCCACCCTCCCCTTCCAGGGTGGACACCGGGCCCCAGGGGGAAGCACTGGGTCCTCCTACCTACCTGAGCCCACAGAACTACTCTTGTAAATGAATCACTCCAAAAATCAGCCAGTGTTTCATGGGTACAGCTCTTTGGACTGTCATCCAAAATGCTAGGATCAATGGTTCTCGACCTTCAGAATACACTGGATCCCTCCCTAGGTTTTCTGATTTAATTGCTCTGGGTGAAGACCGGATCAAAACATTTTAAACACTTCCCCCCAAACTGTGCAGCCAAATCTGAGAATCACCACTCTGTAGTTTGTTTGTTTTTGAATAAGGGATCGAACTCAGAACCTTGTGCTTGAGAGGCAGGTAACAGCACCACTGAGCTAAATCCCAGGCCCACCACTCTGTAGTTACTGAACGTGAATGTACATCAGCAACTCCTGCAGGACTGTGAAAGCAGACCGCCGGGCCCCAGCCTGCAGCCTCTGATTCAGTCTTGAGTGAGTCCTGAGACTACATTTCTGTCAAGTTCCAGGGGTGCCCCAGAAGTTTGGGGGGATCACACAGCTCTAGATATTTAATAAGACAGGAAACAAGATACACTTCTGGGGACCTATTCAAACAAACAAACCAAACAACTCTCTCCTGTTTTCAGTGAGAGGAGGAAGGCCTGCAAGCCAGGCTGTGCCCCAAAGTATCATTTCAATGCAGAGTCCCCTCCTCTCACGGCCTTCATTTCAGGGCCCCCCAGACTTCATCTCAGCCCCTCACCAACCCACCCACCTTTCTAGCAAATGAGCCGAATGATTTGCCACTGTCGCCCGTGACAGCTTAATTACCCTCCCCCCACAAAAGAGCCCCCTCCCTCCTCTAGAGTCCCATATAATTACTTCACTAAAGAACCTCAAGTTTTCAAAATCTGTGATAACGCACTAAAAACAACAACAAAATGGGGGCGGGAGGGGGGAGCCTCCAAAACTGGCAGCAGATGCTTTGCAAGTGTCACATTCCTCTAACCCAGGAGTTTCAGATATTCGGCATCAAGAATCGAATGTCCGCTGCAAATTACTTTGGGAATAATCTGGAAGTAGCTGCATTTTCAGCAAGAGGTGACATCCATGCTAAGTCCTGTGCAGCCGCTGAAGGAGAGCCACAGGAATGCTGGATGCTGCAGACATCAACTGCTTAGGGGGACAAGAATTTCACAGTTGGCTCAGGATTTTGGCTCTACCTTCCCGGCCACATGACCTTGTGCGATTTTGTTTTAATGTCATACGGCTTAAAGTGATTTATTTGTTTTGGTTTTTGGAGACAGGGTCTCACTATATAGTTGAGACTGACCTGGAACTCACCATGTAGCCCAGGCTGGTCTCCAACTCACAGCAATCTTCCTGCCTCAGCCTCCCAGGAGTGCTGGGATTACAAGCATGCGCCACCATGCCCAGCTCACAATTTAAAAAAACAAAACAAACGGGGTCTTGCTGTGTAGTTTTAGGCTGGTTCTGAATTCACTTTGTAAGCCCAGGGTGGCCTCAAACTCACAATGATCTTCCTGCCTCAGCCTCCTGAGGGCTGGGGTTATAGTCATCCACCATCAGGAGCAACCCTGAGCAAACCTTTTAACTACTCTGCATCTGTTTCTCCAGCACTCTATGGAACTAAGGAATATTTCACAGGACCGTGAGGGATATGAAATGACTCAGACTTTAGCCCGACGTTGGGATCATATTAAGCAGTGAACATGAGTTAACAACTATTGTTAATGAGTCCTGTGTCTGATCTACGAGCTGAGAAAAAAATGGAAGACTATCTCTGGACAGAAGATTTAATTGAATCTTTTCCATATCAGTACTTTTTTTGAAGCTACACTTCTTTTTTAAATTTAAAATTTATTTTATTCCTTTCCTTCCCCTCCCTGTGTACAAAAGCTTTGTTTGCATTTCTTCCTTCTATTTTCACTTTTTGTCTTTTCATTCCTTTCTCCCTCCCTCATCCCTTGTTCCCCTTCCCATTTGAACATTTTTTCCCATTTCAAAGTAACTATTCTACATTTTATAGTCTTTATTCCCACTTTCAGTTTCTCACACCAGACAACGCAGTCTTTAAACATGTGTGTCCGATTTACTTCACTTAAGAGCATGGTCTTTCTTTTTTGTTTGTTTTTTGAGACAGGGTCTTGCTATACACAGAGTCCAGGCTGGCCTAGAACTCGAGGTGATCCTCCTGCCTCAGCCTTCTGAGTGCTGTCCGTATTTTCGAAATTCCATGTAATCACCATTCATTGTGTATGAGCCACAAACGCAGCTCATAAGCAAGCTCCTGCAGCGGACTCTGAGGCCCTGGCTCTGTTCTAACTATTTCCCACAGCCCGTACGCCACACAACGTTTACGCATCCTATTTGCTCTAAATGACTTTGGTCAGTGCTGATGAAGGCCAAGTTACAGGCTCACCCGGCCGGCCGCTCTTACCCCTAATTAGTGACATTACCCTACGGCCTTGCAGAGTTGCTCCCAAAGGGACGGTCATAAGAACCTGAATAGACAGCCCAGCCTTGACAAGAAAACCATCACTTTAGGATGCCAATAAATGTCAGGGCAGATGATAAGCCAGGCTCGTGGGCAAATCTGCATTTGCTCTCTGATTCCTCTCTTGAGGCACTCTGTAACTCATCCAGTCAGGGACATTTCTTCGGTGATGAGCCACAGTGCTTTTGCACACGACACAGCTCTACAGAGTCCTCATCCCAACACTTCCTCCTGCCTGCCCAGCTTCCCTGCCCGCCTGACACCACAGAAGCAGCCCTCAGATTTCCCGCCCAACGCTAAGAGCAGTTACAGTGAAGAGCTACCCACCCAAACCGAGGAGAACCTAGAAACACATCTAAAAACTCTCGGGTAAGATGCCCTGGGACCCCATCACCACCCTCACTGACGCAATTCCTAAGTTCCATTTTATGCTGATGTATCTGGAAACGAGGAGACCGAGTACGCTCCCTTGTCCTTCACACTGTCATATCAACTCTCAAAAGTTAGGGTCATCGCTGTTAAAAGTGGTGGTACCCACAGTCCTCAGACACGTGTCCAGAACCCTCCCTGCGAGCCAGATAACTGAAGATGATGATCAACTGGCTCTCATCAGCAGCTAAGCAGAGTTTAACTTCTGATCTTAAATTTCAGCCTGGAAATAGCAATTGCGTATACTTGAATGTTTTCTTTTGTTTGTTTTGAGACAGGGTTTCGCTATGCAGTTCAGGGAGCAATCCTCCTGCCTCAGCCTCCTCAGTGCTGAGATTACAGGCATGCGCCAACGCGCCCAGCTTGAATATCAGTGTTTAAAAAGCAAGCCCCTTACCTTCATGGCTGCTGGAGAAATATCCCCCTCTCATGTAGGATGACTGGCAGTTAGGCACTTCTGAAAGAGAAGTACAGACGTACACACTTCTGTCAATGGTTTCTGCACAAACAGCACAGGCAATCAGCTCAGTGGTAGTAGGAACACCCTGAGCTTCTCCTGCTCTAAGGTCAAGTTTTTCTGGCCCAGTCTGGGAAAGAGGTTCCGCCCCACTACAGCCGTATCGGAAAGACTGAAACCTACCATCTGAGAGAGCAAGAATTTCTCACTAAGAGTCAGGAAAAGAAGAAAACAACACTCCTCCCTCAAAATGTCAAAGAGATGAGCCTATCTGAAGTTACGAGGCCAGAACAAGAACTGGCAGGCATGTGAATGCAGTCCGGCGAGCACATTTTTCACCGGGCTGGGTCTGTTACCCTGAAACTGAACTATATTCAGGGGGTCTCTTCTTCAGGCCAACATGTCCGTGAGGAGAAATGGGTTGCACCCACGTGGGATGAGATGTCACCCAGGAAGGGGACTCAGGTCAAGGAATTACAAGCTAGGAGAGCAGCATACACCTGTAACCCCAGCACTCTGGAAGGCTGAGGCAGGAGAATCTCAAGTTCGAACCTAGCCTGGGAAATCTAGCAGCACCCTGTCTCAAACAGTAAGAACAACTGGTATGGGGGATTTTGCCCAGTTCAAAGACCCTGGGCTCATCCCCAGTATGGGGAGGTGGGAAAATGACATGCAGAGTAACATTTGAATATCTTGCTTGAGGGACCTGGGGAACCAATCAGGACAGATTAAGACATCAATCAATCCTAAAGGGAAAAATGTTGCTGCACATGGTCACTTCCAAGAAAAATGCCTCAAAACCTCCCAGAGGAATGCTAGCGGCTATTTTTACAAGTTACTACCACCTGACTCATTTTTTGGTCATAAAGCAACAGAAGTCTTGGTTTGCCTCCCCAGCCCTCTGCACACCGTTTCTGCCTCATCTTCCTTTACAGTGAAAATAGTGAAGTCATGTCAGGAAGGAAAAGGAGAAACAAAGAGGGAAACGGTTCCACATTTAATAGGCTCGGCTCGCAAGATACATGGGCAGTTTAAACTTATGGATACGAAGTTCCTAGGTCAAACAATAGGTGCCCTCAAAGGCCAGGGATTTAGCGCAGTGGTTCTGCTGCCTGCCTCGCAAGCGCAAGGTCCAGAGTTCGATCCCTGGTACCAAAAAACCCCCAAACAGGTGCCCTCACGAAGTGTACCTCTCTCTGTGCCTACCATAGCTGCTGAAGGACTCAAGGACCTTCCCAGTTGCGATCATTGTAAAAGAGCAGCGAGTTCTCTGATGCAGCCAACCAGACAGTGTCCTCCAGGGCATCCCCAGCACCCTGTGTAACCACACACCAAGCGCTTCCTTTGAACGCCATTCGCTTCAAGAACGAGAATTGCATCCTGAACGTGGACTCTCTGGTAGTTGTACTGGAACACGAATGGCTCTGCCATATTCCAAAAGGAAACCACAGAACTAGGGTAGGACCAACGTATAGAAACAGGGTTCCCCGAGTCCGGTGAACCGAAGGCTAATGTATCTTAACGAAAGGACACCACTCTAGGCTGGTGTCTGTCCCATTTTGTTCCGCTGAGTTCTTTCGGGGCAATTCTCTGTCGTTGCGCTGTTAGGGATCGAACCCGAGGCTTCGCACGGCACCACTCACCTGTACCCCCAGACCTTGAGCAGCTCTTACAAAACTGCACCCAAAGCCTTGCACACAGAAGAGAACAACGGTAAATACAAGAACGGGAGAAACAAACAGCACGGTTTTATGCTAACCTGAATCAACGCAGTAATCTCGGGGCTCCTGCTTGATTCCCATTGGCGACTGGAACCCATGTGCTGGGGGACCCGGCATTCCAGGGACCCCGTGTTCATAGAGAGGGTCGTGGTATTCTTGTTTGAATCCCTGAGGGGGAGGGGGAGCTGCAGGGACGATGGGTTCCGACAGCTGCCGGTGGTAACCGGGGCGACTGTCCCCAGGGACTCCTGACTGAGGCGGGTAGGGGTGGCAGGGCTCAGACAGTTGTCTCTGAAATCTGAAAGAAAAAAGAAGTTAAGACAGGATGAGTATTTGCTATGACTGGGCACTGGGGACCGGAAGTTCGGGCCTGTAACTTATTTGCAAAGTAACTATTAATGCTTATTTCTGGATATTTTATCCTGTGCCAAAAACAATACTGCACATCACAAATCTTCAGTCAGGAAGAGGCAGAAAACAAACAAACAAACAAAAACAAAACCCCCACGGAATGTAATATAGTGACTTCTCTTGTTTACTTAACATAGTCTATTATAGATTTTTGGGCCACATTATATATCTGAATATATAAGACCGGGCTGGGGATTTAACTCAGTGGTTCCACTGCCTGCCTTGCAAGCAGAAGTTTCCAAGTTCAACCCCTGGTACAAAAATAAGTAAATAAATGAATACGTAAGACCAAGTATTTGCAACTAGCACTAAAATATATGTATTTTTTCCCTACAATACACGTGTTTTTTCACTAGTTTATTCATTTTCTCACCTGTAACCAGAATGAAAATTTAAGAGTACAAATTAACCAGTCAGGAAATACATTCTTTAAAAATCCCACTCATAGTAGCAATCAAAAAATTTTAAAAGTCCTAGGAATAATCAGTAAGTGTGTAGGCCAAAAGAATAAAATCCTGACAATGTTTTCCAAGGAAAAGAAAAAGACAGAAGAGAAACTGTTTAGAGCTCTGAAGCTATTGATTTACTGAAAATTATCCTATAGAAGCAATGTCTTTTCAATCAAATTGGCAAAATGATTCTAAGCTTCATTTAAAAGACAAAATATATTTTTGAAAAGAAATAGTGATCAACTAGGTATTGACACATTATAAAACTACAGTATCTAAAAACAGTAATACAAGTAATGCAAAAGTGATGGGCAAATTAAAAAATTGAATAGAAAGTTAAAAACTGTTAGATATGTTCCAGAATTTGTAACTTAAGTTAGCATTTCAAATTAGTGACAAAAGGAAATCAGACTCTGTTTTATACCACATTCCAAAGTAAGTTTCCCATGGATAAAAGATTTCAATGTAAAAAGTGAAACCATAGTACAAAAGTAAACATACATGAGAACTTAAATAATTTTGGAATGAGGAAAAATTTTTCTAAGCATCATAACAACAGAAACCATCAAGATAAACATGGATATGCTTCATTATTTAAATTTCCATGGTGGGGTGGAATCAAAAAACAACCCAAGAACAACAAACCCCAACAGAATCAAAACCAAAAGAAAAACATTAAATCAAAAAAAAAAAAAAATTGTAGTAAGGAAAAAAAAAATCCAAAGAAGTAAAACTGAGGAAAAGCTACTAACAGATCAATAGGAATATCGTTAAAGAATATTAATGGTCATCAACAGTTTAATTTCATCAGTAATTGAAGTATAAAGGAAAGATAATTTTTTTTACCTTTCCACTTGGGAGGATGACCAGGGAGCTAGTAATTCTGTACCCAGCACATAAACAGATAGCACAGGAATCACAGAGGATTAGACACAGCTACAAAGATGGTCACCGAGGAGACTAGCTATACACTGATACAGCCTCTTTAGACTAGAGGAGCCATTAAATATAAGGTAATATGCAAATATAAAAGGATCTGCAAGTATTTTTTGATAGAGTAAGGCAGGTTGCTAAACAGCATCAAAGTTTTGCAAAACAAAAACAAAAACAAATAGAGTAGTCATATGAAGGGAGTCACGGTAAACTTTCTATGTAAATGTTTTTTTTTAAGACAGGGTCTCACTATGTAGTTGAGTCTCACCTGGAACTGTGTAGTCCAGGCTGGTCTCGAACTCACAGTGATCCTCCTGCCTCAGCCTCCTGAGTGCTGGGATTACAGGTATGCACCACCATGCCCAGCTACTACGTAAATGTTAATATGGCTTATCTTTGGGGTGGCTGGGACTTTGCGTGATTTTCCTCTTTGTTCACTTATATGCAAATATACATTTTTTTAAAACAAGAAAATAAAAGGCCTTTGTTAGGTTATTAATCAACGATTATCGCAAACAACCTTTAGCTGTCAGAAATCCAGATATGTTAATTACCCTTCTGTCAGAGGGCAGGGAAAGCCTGCATGAAGTCCTCAGGTAAGACCACTCACTAGGGAAGTAATGAGGCAGTTTCTTGGTTTTATTTCCTCATGTGTGACAAGGGGCTGTATTTTCCTCCCAATGCTTCTGGAACGATGAAATACAATCATGTCTGTAAAGCGTAGATTTTGCCACACACCTAATCTTTAACTTTCTGGAACAAATTACTGGAAGGTAAGTGTGGAAACGAGATCAGTGACCCTCAATCTATACACACTCATAAGGCACTAACCTTTGCATAAATGATAGCATTTGTGATTTTCTTGGGTATAAAGTAGGAACCAGGGTTCAAGGAAAAAGAAAAAACTTAAGAATGGCCAATTCCAATGCGTTTTGTTGCTGTTCTGCAGTACTGAAGACTGAAGCCAAGACCTTTGCACTGACCTAGATCCCAAGCACTATTATTTATTTTTGAGACAGGGTCTCACTATGTAGTTGAGACTGACCTGGAACTCACTATATAGCCCAGGCTGGTCTCGAACTCAGTGATCCTCCTGCCTCAGCCTCCCGAGTGCTGGGATTACAGGCATGCATCAACACGCCTGGCTCTAAGCACTTTATTTTTGTAGTCATTTGAGAGACAGGGTCTTGTTAAATTAACCAGGCTGGGCTTGAACTTACGACCCTCCTGTTTCAGCTGGGATTACAGGCATGCATTAACATGCCTGGCTCTAAGAACTTTATTTTTGTAGTCATTCGAGAGACAGGGTCTTGTTAAGTTAACCAGGCTGGGCTTGAACTTGAGACCCTCCTGTTTCAGCCTCCCTGAGTCACCATGCCTGGCTGTGTTTTTATTTTCCACTTTTATTTCTGGTGGAGACAGAACCCGAGGAACAGCCCATGTGAATGAAGTACAGACTCTACAATTTTGCTATACCTTCAGACCCTCAATGAGTTTTTCCCCTTAATCAACAATATAATTTTGTAACCGTAGTCTTACTGTCTACTTTTAGCTTGAAACCTATTAATAGCTTTAATCAAATAATTTGACCTAGATTTGAATCAATCTGTGGCAACAGGTGGCCAACAGATTTCTAGAACATCAAGATTCAAAATCTTCAGCTGCAGAGATCTGGGTACAGATAAAACGCTGTTTAGATGAGGGTGTAGCACCGCGTGACATTTTGCTGTGAGTCTGAAGCATTCTATTGCAAGCAGCATCACGAGAGCCTCTTATAACATGAACCTGGAGCAACGTCACACACACTGAAAACATCTGGATCTGCCTGGCCACATCCTCAACACGTTTTTACCAACTACCCAAGCTTCCCTGGGTTGAGAGCCTTTTATGGAGGTGCTGGGTGCACTCTGGCAGAACTGTGTCCTCAGGAACCTGAATTTCCAGGTTGCTGTTATTTAAGGAAACTCTTCCAGGGTCTCTGATGAAGTGTAAATTTGCAACTCAGGTGTAGGCTTGACATTCACAATATAAGCAACCAGCAGCATGCTGCAAACCTGAAGGGAATTCTTTCAGTTAAGAAATACGAGGCTCTTAGGACTTACTTAGGGTGCCCAAGACTTATGCTATGTGAGAGCAACAGCAATAAGGGCCCCTGCCCTGCATTTTCTCTCCCCTTCCCTCTGCTGCCATCTTACCACCTTCCAAGGCGACCTTCACAAATGGGCTCCGATGTGGCCTGTCCCACCAAGCTCTGTAACCAGAGCGTCTGCGAGTGGCAGGTCCCATGGTCCCACTTCTGCTTACTGCTCACCTGCTCATCTTCTCGCCTTCCAGAATGCAGCTCTGGAGTTGGCCAGGGATGCCATCCCTCAGAAGAGGGGCTTCCGAATGGGGACCAGCCAGCAATCCCTCCCTCCCCCGCACACACTAAGGCCGCCCGGAGCCGACGGATCACTGGCAGTGGTAACGATCTGAGAGTGGCAAAGGGTATCTCGGGGATGGGTTGTAAAACCAACATGCTTGAAAGAAAGAGGCCAAGCTTGCTGCCCTGATCACTCTTATTTGCAGCTTTGTGAAGTAATTCAGTTCTTGTCCTCAAAACATACTGTGACATTTATTTGGTGACCTTCACCTGAACCTCTCGTCTCTCTGCAGGCCCCCTAAAGTAGCCAAGAACGAGCTATCTGCTGGAAATGGCCACTGAGGAGGGGGGCTCAGCTCCGCCAGCCTCTTCTCTCTCCCGCCCTCCCATGATCCCAGCAGAACTCACATTTGGTGAGCAAAGGGCTCCCGGGTAAGACCTTTTCGGTGCTGGTTTATTTAAAGCAGTTATTTATTTATTTGTCAGATTTAGATAGCGCCTCTCCTCCTAGGAGCTCACCCATGCCACCAACATTTGGTTTACGTTATGAAAACCGTTAGATGCTTTTTCTGCATTTCCTTTTTGGTTTCTGCTGCCAACATACTGAGTAAACACAACGCTTATGCGGGGGGAAAAGAGCAAAGTGCAGATCCGATGCAGGCTCCACAGTGGCTAAGGCTGCCAGGTGAATGAGTGATGGCTCCGGAGCCAGCGTTCACAGACACTGCAAAATCCGCCAAGAGCCAACTCCACGTGCACTTCCTGTTGCGGGCAAGAGAAGATGATGGGAAATAGAGACGCAGCACAGTTAAGAAAGAAGCTCTGGCTGTGTGGGCAAAACATCCTAGGCTGAAATCCAATCCTCCCTGCTTACTAGCTATGACCTTGGATGAGTTAGGTAACTGCTCTGAGCCTGGGTTTCTTCAGCGATGAAGTAAGAGCCACTAGGATACCCATTCTCAGTGGTCTGTTGCAAAGATTACAGAAGGTAACCCAGGGAGGCCCGCTGTGGTGAACACGCCCATGGCCCAAGACTTGAGAGGAAGAACACAAGTTATAAATATAAAGGCTGAGCATGGCAGCAAATCTCGGCAGTCCCAGCCCTTTGGTGGGGGGGCACCAGAGATCAAACTGGGGCCCTTG